AAAATCTACAAATACAATAGATTCAGTTAACTTAAGTTCAATACCATTTTAAATAATGAATAAAATAAAAATAAAGATTTGAAAAAATATTTACCTTTTTCTTTTTTCTTTTTAGGATCTTTCCTATCCTCTTCATTTAAATAATGTAATATATTTTGAGTAGTAATATTTCCTAGCAAATCTACATCAATCCTATCCCTCAAAATAATATTATTGTTGATCATTTAAGTTTATTTGTAGCCAAAATATGAAACTAATATCCTTACTACAAAAGTTTCACTCAATCATAATACAATAAACATTAAACACTGTCGCAATTTCTTTCATATAATAGCACAGAAATGATGGTATCTGAAGCAGGCAGTGGTTCATGAATGAATGGAGTAACACAATAGAAAACGGTATAATAAATATCAAAGAAATGCGTAGTTTGAGATAAACTGTTTACACGGGAACGATCAATAACAATTATATACTATCTAAATCAGCTTAACATGACTTGCCTCCTTAGATTCATTTTAAGATAATAAACAGTAAATAACCGGACAGCTCCAAAAATGGCAGGCCACATAAAAACAATTAGATGTATGCATTTCAACAATATCAGATATAAAATATTTTTATTTTCTAAAATACATGTTTAATTTACATCAAATTAATAAGAACAATTAGTAACCTGTAAATGTATATTACATTTTACCAAACAATAAGAAAATTTCTAACAATATTTAAATAAATATCTATGCAACAGACATAAATTAATAACATAAGTATTTCTGAAAACAACAGATAACTGTTAAAAGAAAAATATTTTTAAAACATCAGATATATTCTTTTCTTTAAAAATGGAACAACTGTTATCTCTAATACTGCTAACGTTAATCACATTACCATACAAATATTCAATAAAAATGTAAACTATTATCTATGCTTTATGCAAAATGTTTTATACAACCTTACAAAAGATGGAACATTTAATAAAGATATTCCTGCTGGGATGTAACATGAATGGAAGTTGTAAATAGTTTAATTATTTTGAGCAATCTGTAGTATTAAGTTAAATCAGATCACTATAATGATGAAAAAGAAATTTTTAAGAGAAAAAAATTATAATTTGTGATAAAATTATGTCATTTTAAGTCCAGATATTTCTGCAGTGTAACATGGAGAACATTGTTAATAGAAACAATAAAAAATTAAATAGCAATTATTATGCATGTTTGCTGAATAGAAACAATAAAAAATTAAATAGCAATTATTACTTCAATTATTATGCATGTTTGCTTTATTGCAGACAAATTAAAAAAACAAACCAATATTTCTAGGGAATTAAATAAAATAAAACAAAAACCTATTTAAATTATGATTTTTTTTTTTTCAAGCAACAAAAATAGAGTATAAAACAATAAAACAAATATAGAAACATTTGAAAACAAAATAAAAAAGATATTCAATGTAATAGTTTAACAAGCTGAAAAAATTGTTAACCAACAACTGAATAAAGCCAGCTAAATATGCATTTTGTAAACAATGGATCCATAATCAGTTTTTTTTTTTTTTTTGTTTCAGTCGCTGTATCTACTTAAACAAAATTTACTTTTAATTATAATTTTCTAATGGGTTTATTTGTTTCAAAACGCGCTGAATGTTTTGTCCAAATAAATGATATTTGGAGAAAGAAGACCAATTAAATAGGTATTTGCACCAATAATAGCGGGCTTTAGCAAATACATATTAAACTTCCTTTAATGAAAACATTTGCACCCCAGACAGGTTTAATAAATTCAAGAACTATTCACAATCACTTCCATTCCATTAAGAGATTCAATAACAATAGTCCAAGAGGTTTTATTATAAATCAAGCCTCCAATTCATTTGACAATGCCACTGTCAATATTTTTTTCATCTCATAGTCGTATATTTGATCATGAGTAACATTAACATTACAATAATTTGAAGATACAAATGCATGGTAACCTTCATGAGAATATTCTCAAGAATGCCTGACAACACAATCAGACATGACTGAATTCGAACAGTTGACTTTTTGTCTTTTAGTCTTATTTTTAAAAACATAAATCTTAATTTAATGAAATTAAGATAGGACAAAATCATATAATAAAATAATTACAGAACACACGAAATAGTAATAATTTCTATGATTAACATCAAATTTAAGTACTGTTTCTTTAGAAAGATCAAAAGCTGACTAGACGTAAGTACTTAATTTAGATCATAACTAAAACTGGACATACAAAACAATAAATAACAACAATGGTTAATAAATACAATAAAACCAAATTCAAACATTTTTCATACAAGCAACAAAAAACTGGAATATCTTATTGTGAATTTTGCTGTATACTGCATCTCACGAAATGATGTTCATTATATTAATGGTAAAAAAAGAGAATGAACATGAAGATATATTACTCCTAAGGTTTTAATTTACTCTTCTATAAGCCTAACTGTCACAAGTGAGAAATATCACAAACCTAAAACTTATTGTATAACTAATACTAAGCTGCCAAGTGGAACAATTAATTATGTTAATAGATTTAAAATGAAAATTCAAACATCATTGTCATACACAACTAAAATATATTTATTAAACATAAAAGTTGTTTTGGCATGATCACCATAATCAAATGCTTAGTCCGGAGTTGATCAGAGTTGTAATAGACCTATTATCCTAATTGACATAGTTTTCAACAGGCATTTATTTTGAAAATATATATCTTTGCGACAACACTTTCTAGCTTATACTCCTTATTTTGTTTCTTTAATTCTCAAAAGTTACACTTAAGCTGAGTAATTATTATTTGCATTATTCTGATACTGTAAAAATCACAACCCTAATATCTTATGAAAATAGTTTCATAATTTATTAAATGACAAGACAGTAACTATAATCGAGACAAAGCTAAATAATGTATGTTCCATTGACAAGTATAAATAAATTGGCATTTTAAAATTATTACTCCCATCTGCCCAAAAAACATCAGAAGGCCCAAAATTATTTGTTCATTTTGGTGAAGATAACCATTGTAAGAATATATAAATACGTACTAAAAACAATAAATATTCTTTAAACAATTAATGAGACTAAGGAAATAAAGTCATCTAAATTATTCCAAAGGGATTTGGTCCAGAAAAAGATTATGATTATTATTATCTATTGACCACACCTCGACAAATTCCTTCTCATTTTTTTTCATTATGCTATTTTTTTTTTTTTTTTTTGCAACTAGTTTTCAGTAAAATGTTAGGAATCCAAATAGAAATCATTTTAGAAGTACAGCCTGTATTAATCTAATAATACATACATATTTTTTACACTAAGGTTTAATATTTAATAATTGTCATTTATTTTTTAAATAAAAATGTGTGGCTGTGTCTTACGGTTTAATTTCAACTATATCCAATAAAATTTCCTTCAAACTCTTTAAATATAACCACAATTGTTATCTAATCTATTGATGATTGACTTTATGGTAAATAATGAGGAAAAATTAAAATATTTCCTAATGAGCGACTCAAGATGAAAATGCATCTTGTCCAAAATAGTAAATTATTTTTGTAAGAAATCTAAGTATGGAATGTTTTAGATCATATTGCTTCTTGTCATTGAGTTTTAAGAACTTTGAAGGTTCTTGTTCCCTGTAAAATTTTGTTCATGTTTTTGTCATTATCAAAATAAATGAAAATGAAAAAAAAATTCTTCTTTTTTTTAATTTTTATCTCTCAAGTACTAAAAGTTTGATACATAAATTTTTGTTTTTCTGAAAATCTACAAATACAATAGATTCAGTTAACTTAAGTTCAATACCATTTTAAATAATGAATAAAATAAAAATAAAGATTTGAAAAAATATTTACCTTTTTCTTTTTTCTTTTTAGGATCTTTCCTATCCTCTTCATTTAAATAATGTAATATATTTTGAGTAGTAATATTTCCTAGCAAATCTACATCAATCCTATCCCTCAAAATAATATTATTGTTGATCATTTAAGTTTATTTGTAGCCAAAATATGAAACAATAACAATAACAAATAAATAAATACTACCAATACACACGCATACATAAAAACATACACCTTACCAGATATATACAAAACTCCTTTTGTGAATTATTTCATACATTACCATAAAACAAAATTTAACTGTACAATGTATTTATCACATGTTAAAAAACCACCTATCAATGTAATACAAAGACAGATCTTAAAAAATCTTTTTGATTGTGAAAATTATAAAAATGAAAAATAAATCATAACTGGAAATAAACCAAATTAGGAAAGAAATTAAAAAAAAAAAATGGAAAATTTGTTTCCTAAAAATATTTTCAAGTTATAAAAATTAAAAATAAATTTATACTATGAATATGAGCTCATAAGAACATTATTTTCCTTTATCTTTATTTTATTTTGGGATGATTTTATGAATGGTGACTGGCTCATGACGAATAAAGAGGAAATTATTGAAAATACTAACAAATATGTAACTACAGTCATTTTCTCTGAATATTTATGAAAAATATTGAGCTTAATAAATGCATTATAAAATTAGCAATACCTCAAAAGTAATGCTACCAACATTGTTATGCTTCTTAGAAATACATATGAGCTCTGGTGTTTTTTCAGTCCATAAGCTAACTAGTTAGATATTGTAATGCAAAAGAAATTTGCAATGAACATGAAAAAAAAGAACAGAAATCATGCTCTACTAATGGTATAAGTATTAATATATATATATATATATATATACATATATTATACATATATATATATATTATATATTATATATAATATATATAATAATTATATATATAATATATATTATATATTATATATAATATATATAATAATTATATTATATATAATTATTATATATTATATATTATATATATATTATATATATATATATATATATATATATATATATATATATATATATATATATATATATATAAATTAATTAATTAATAAACAGTTAATTAATTAATTAATAAAATTAATTAAAAAATGTAAAAATTTTTACTTAAAGTCAATTTTAGGATTTAACAAGTAAGTTAGACCTGATTAGATGATTACATGAAGTGTAAAGATCATGCAAAATTCATTAAACATTAATCCCATAAATAAAGAAAAAAAATTATTAGCATTAAAAAGTAATTGTTATCAGAAATAATGAGCCTGAAGTTGTGGCTAAAACATGTCAATTAATACCACTCATGTAATCAAATTCTAACTTTAACATTTTTTTAAGTATCAAGTAGTGAAATATTTGTTAATTATGATTACAAATTAACAATGTTATTCAATGAAATGTAGAAAAATATAATGCTATCTGGCTTTAATAGTATTTAAGAAATAATTTACTTCAAGGTCCTAAATGCTAAAGATTAATTTGCAAAATGTTATATCAAAGGATGGATTTTCAGACTCTTAAGGTATAGTTTTACGATATCATGTTACAATAAATACATCAATAGTCATGCCCAAATGTATAAATAAAAAAGATAGAAAAAAAACAACTAATAGGTGGTTTTTTTACAATTAAATACTATATATAACAACCACTTTTAAAAAATAATGTTTAATTACTTTGGTAATATTATACTGCATATTTCTTGGATTATTTTCAATACAAATATATATAAATCACATCGTAAAATGACCTCTTAATTGAACAATATTAAAAATTTTGGTCAGCCATCTATCACAACTAGTGCATTTTGGAAAATAACATAATGCGACAATCATCAATGTCAAATCAGTCAAGGAGTAATATTAGTTAAAAGTATAGTAAGTGAAACATTATATTCAGGAATAGCTGAACATGATTATTGCACATTTGGTAAATGTGGTCCCTTTAAAAATAAAAAAATTAAATAATAATCAGATACTAAAGCAAATAATAAATGCAAAATGATAACAGCTTGTTATTTTCTGTTATAATTCAAATGAACAACCTAATTGAAATAATATGTAAATACTATGTTAAATATAATAGAAAAAATAATTTAATTTATAATTAAATAAGATGAGCTAAATAGTGAGGCAATCATAATAAAAAATAAAACATTTGTTTAAGAATACTTGCATTGTTTAAATTTCTCCCGATTGCCTATACCCAATATAAATATAGTGATGTTAATAACTAAACAAAAGAAACATGCTTCCATCACTTCCTTCAAAGTTTGGGAATCACTGTTGCTCTTATTATGGTGTATAATGAGATTACTAACACTTAAAAACCACAGTCATCACAGTGTTATTAATACTGATCTTTTTTTTAGAAAATACTATAATCCAGGGACTTTTGCGAGAAGTTTAATACGAATATTGATAAATAACGTAAACAATAAAACAAATAACATGAGAAACAATTAGGAAACAAATCTTTAAAAGCAATAACTGATTTGAATTCCTTTTGTGAAATTCAACTGGAACTTGAACCACAGGCTTCACTGCCATCGTCATCTTTTGGTTCTTCACATGAAGTAGTTGATTCTTCATTTCCTTCCTTCTTTTCTGAAAACATAAATAAAACAAAACAAAAATATATAAAAGTAAAGCTTGCATGTGTACCTATTGTACATGTGTGACAATTTCAAAACCTTGGAAGCAAGATCATTATGAAAAATTTTATAAGTGTAAAATTATTGAATAAAAAGTGGTATTTTTGTAACTTAAACTGTAAGAAGGAGACTACAATGCTAAACACCAACGATGGGGTTGTCGATCATCCAACTCCCGTGGTAACATACTATCTTCTGTCTCAACTTCCAATAGTTACTCTGTCCTCTCTCCTATGAATCCTACCTATTGGCCAACATCCCTCAAAAAACGCCCTGATATCCTCGACATATTTGTCACCTCCCAAATTTCCTCTTCCCATGTCACAATAAAATCCCTGGATGACCTCTCCTCAGATCATTCTCCAGTTCTGCTTTCATTACACACAACCTTCGCTCCTAAGCCCTCGTCCTCTCCTACACTGATTACAGGACGAGTAAACTGGGACAATTTTCGTAAAGACCTGGAAAATAAATTGGACCTAAATATTCCACTTAAGACGAAACGTGATATTGACACAGCCATAAAAGAACTCACTACATCTATAAGTGACAAAATAAAGAATAATACATCTACCAATAAAACTGACAACTCCCAACAGACAAATTTGCCGCAGCATATTCGTATCTTATTAAGGGAAAAACGCAGAGCAAGATCGAAGTGGCACAGGACTAGATATCCATCAGATAAGACATATTACAACAAATTAACTAACCAACTAAAAGCTGAAATTAGAAAATACAAAGTTCAAAATTTACATAACATGACAGAAAAACTTACTACTTGTGACAAATCACTATGGTTGACCACTAAAAAACTCCTTAAATTCAAAGATTTTAACCACCCACTTATTACTGAAACCCAAACCTGGTCCAGATCTGATGATGAAAAATCTCAAATATTTGCTCAACACCTCTCAAAAACATTTAATCCACACCCAGACATCCTTAATCCAACCCACCTTGAGTTTATTGAAGCAGAATTGGATACCCCACTCCAATTGACTCCTCCACCTAAAGCATTTCATCCTTCAGAAATATCCAATATCATTAATAGATTACCTTCTCGCAAAGCTCCTGGCCATGACCTAATCACCTCCCAGATCCTAAAATGTCTTCCTAAAAAAGCCATATTGTTCCTAACCTATATATTTAATGCTGTACTCCGCACCACATATTTTCCTGACTCTTGGAAACTATCCATTGTCAAAATGATACCTAAACCCACAAAGCCGCCAGAACACCCATCCTCTTACCGTCCTATCTCCCTTTTACCCATTATGGGCAAAATCCTGGAAAAACTCATTTTAAAACGCCTGTATCCCATCCTAGACTCTAAACACATTATCCCAGATCACCAATTTGGATTCCGCACATCCCACTCCACTATTCAGCAATGCCATCGTGTGGTAGATGTAGTCTCCTCTGCATTGGAGCGCGGAATGTACTGCACGGGAGTCTTTCTCGACGTTGAACAGGCGTTTGATAGAGTCTGGCATCCGGGACTGATGTACAAACTCCGTGAATTCCTACCACCTACATACTTCCTCATTATACGTTCCTACCTTACTGACAGATACTTCAAAGTCAATCATAACAATGCTTATTCATCTCTTTTTACTCAGTCTGCCGGTGTTCCTCAAGGTAGTATCCTAGGTCCTATCCTTTACACAGTTTATACAGCTGACATCCCAACCCAATCCAACACTGTCATCACCACCTATGCCGATGACACGTGTATCCTATCAGTTAATAACGATCCTTTAATTGCATCCCAAACTCTTCAATCACATATCACAAGCCTTGAAGAATGGTGTAAAAATTGGAGAATAAAAATAAATTCCAACAAATCCCATCAAATCACTTTTACCCTCCGTCGTAAACCTATGACCTCTTGTCCTACAGTATCCTTCAATAATACTCCACTTATTCCTGTTGAGCAAATCCGCTACTTAGGACTCCACCTTGACAAACGACTCACTTGGAACCCCCATACCAGACTGAAACGACTAGAAACCGCCCGACGTTTTCGACTACTGCAGCACTTACTAGACAAACGATCTAAGCTTTCAATCAATTATAAACGACTCGTATATATGACAATAATAAGACCTATTTGGACTTACGGAATTGAGCTTTGGGGCTCCACTAAACCATCGAATTCCTCTCGTATCCAATCCTTACAATCCAAAATCCTTCGTAAAATCCTCAACGCTCCTTACTTTGTCACAAATAAAATCATCCATAAAGACCTTAATGTTCCATATGTTTCCGATCTGGCCCAATCCAGATACCTTTCCTTCCATAACAAACTGCAGAATCATCCGAATCCTCTCGTTTCAAACCTTGCTTCATCCTCGATCCCTGATAATCCTCCGAGGCGTCTGAAAAGAAGATGGCCTCGGGATCTTCTAATATAGAACTTTAATTTGAGTTCTACCAATGGGTAGTTTCTCTTCATGTTGCACATGCCATGTTACAAATTTCTCATTTACTTATTGTATTCTCTATGTAATACAGTTGTAAATTCCATTGAAATAAAAAAAAAAAAAAAAAAAAAAAAAAACTGTAAGGTAAGATTTTTTTTTAAATTAATTTTAAAAAATTATAAATTAAAAAAATGAGTAGTAAAGTTTTATAGATTATTATTTTAAACTTAATTTTGTGTTTTAGGACTTTAATAATATAAAAACGTATATATTATCATTTTTTTTCTCTGTTAATCTCCAATGATTTGTTAGTCTATAAATCCACACTAGTTCACAGATCAAAATTTGCAGTATTAGGTTTTCCTATTTTATTAATGGAATTTTAGTTTAACTAACTTAGTTCTCATGATAGTGTAAATGTTCATACAAAACTGGTTAAGTCTGTGAAAATGTTCATTTAATTTTTTTTTTCCAGTAAATCTGGAGAACCAGTCAGGCAGGGGGCTGGTCAAGTAGAATTCAACAGTAGTTAGAAAAATATTGTACATAATAAACATAGTGAGTGTGTAAGGCATTAAAATTAATAATAAATTTAATCACCTTTTGTGGTTAAACCCATAAGGCGTTCTGGAAGGTCTGCAGTTGTGGTCATGGCATGCTCAGAAAGTATATTAGGCAAAGCATTACGCCGCCCTGCACGGCCTGTAGTAAGAAAATCCTGAACTGGATCCCGTTCTCCATTTCCGTTTTCCGACATTACTGCCAGCATTTTCAGAACTAAATAAAAAAAAAAACTGATAAGAATAAAGTAAGACAAAAATTTATTGTCAAAACACAAATTAATATATTTTTTCATGTTATCCCAATCTGTAATATAACATTAAAAAAAAAAAAAAAAAAATCATTACAGTACGCCCACAAAAAATAAAAAATAGCCATACTAGAGTTCCCTAAGGGACTGAGTGACAGGTCTTGGTGTGGATTCTCAACATTACGCTGTTCTTGAGAGGAAGTATTATCAGTATTGCGCTCCAACTGCCTGATTTATCTCCTGTCTTTTATTTATTCCCTTATTAATTAGTTTTTAAGATTATGTGTACTTAAAAAATGTATGATGAACTACAGTTCTCATCTTGACAAAGTCCACTAATGTTTAATCAAGAGAACTTTGGTTTGCCAGGATTTGAATCAGTTTCACTTAGCAGAGGAAACAGTGCTGAACTGATAGCTAACTTGCTTCCTGAGTGTTACTATCTCAAAAGTTGATCCTCAATATTTATTATCTGAAATAACCCAACATGTGAGCAGCTCAAAAGAGATAAGTTAACTTGAAATTAATAACTATTATTATGACTAAAGAAAAATTTTTACTTGTTGCTTCACTTTTTTTTAATTTTATAAAGTCATTATTTTTGTGGCTTCTGAATTGATTATATGATTTCAAAAGCCATTTTGATAAGTCCACTGTTTATCAATACTGCATAAAGGCTTGGAAATATAAAACAACTTCTTTTGATAAATCTTTGTAACACTGAAAAACAACCTACTGATAATATTCAAAACAGTTTTTAAATATTTAAATTTAATTAATATAAATAATAACTAAATGAAATTTTATTTAAATTTTAAGTTTCTTGGAGTAAAATCATAACTTGTCTTTTACTTTAGGATACAGATAGGATGAATGAGAAAAAAAAAGGAAACATACTTCATTGGAAACAAGTTTAGATACAGTTATTTTAAAAAATATATATATTACTAGCTAATCCAGTGCTTGACCCAAACTGTAGAACTGAGTTTTAAGAAAATTTTTAACCTAACTGATCCAAAATGGGACTAAGGATAATTTAAAGGGTAAATATTTCTCTGAACTATCTCGGCTGGTAAATAAGAAAAGTACATACTGTGTTTTTTCAAGATCAGCCAGCCATTAAAAAAAAAAGTTGAAACATTGCCACCATTCATATTTTTATTTTTACCTCCAGTAGATACCTATTTTTCTTACAGAGCATAATTTATATTTTATTTTTATAATCACTACATGTTTTATTTTGATTAAGATGATTGCCATAATTTATATATATAGTTTTTTTGTTAAATTCATATTAGATTTGTTTCATAGCTCATAATCTTTAAAAATAGTACAATATACAATAATTTTAAAACATTAAAATTGAAAAATTCTAATTTACTTGGCTAAAATTGTTTTTTTCACATCAATTATCTTAGTCCATGGTACAGACCCCTTTTTATCGAATTATAAACATCCGCCTGAAACTTCGTAAATAATTTCATCTCATCGTAGCCTACAATTATTTCATTTACGAAAACTCTTGGAATTGAGGCGTTTTCAATCTGGAAGGGAGCAAATTTTGTCTATTTAATTAGGTTCTAAAAACTCGGTAATAGGTAATTCTAATTGGATCGTAAGATAATTTGATCACAAAATTGATAAAAAAGGTGGCTTACAAAAATATTGGGCCGTTTGTCCTATATGACCTCGTTATTTTGAAAATTTAGGAGTGTAGGTCACACCAAACGACTCAATATTTTTGAAGGTCACAAAACAAATTTCAACCCACCCAGGCCAGATTCGAACATACATAGCTAGAAGTCGAGAATGTTAAAGCGGGCAACACCTCAACACTCGGCCATCACAACCTCATAAATAATAGAACTTATAATAAACAAGTTATTTTAAATAATTTTACATAAGTTAGGTAGGACCTATAGAACAAACCTCCTCTTCTCTCCACCCAAATGTCACAAATGGAAATAAAATAAAATAAATTAAATTGAATAATAAATTTTAATGACTTGAAGAGCGTTAAACATTTTCTAAAAAAGTAAATAACAAATAGTTTGAGAAACCCTTTGAAAAAAAATTGTAGCTAGACTGTGATCAAGTAAAATAAGTCAGGTTAAGTAAACTTTCATGTAATTAGAGTACCTACATTAAAAAAATAAAATAAAAAATCAATCAAAATGGCAGTATTATTCTATTGTCTAGTTGATAAAAAAAAAGAATTATTCAAAAATTAAATTGTTGTACTTACAGTGTTTCTTTAACTAACAACAAATTAAATACAATATTATATGATAAAAGGTTTAATTTAAAAGAAAAGATTAACAGCTGTTGGTATTGAATACAAATGTGTCAGTATCATTTAAAAAAAATTAATTTTAATTAATATTTTATTTCAATGTTTTTTCAGTAATTTCAAATTTTATTTATAACCTTAAGGCTCTTCTAAAAAAAAAAAACAAATATATATATATATACATATTACATATTATTATTATTATTATATATATATATATATATATATATATATATAATATATATATATATATATATAGGGGGCTGGGGTAGCCGTAAGGGCTAAGGCACTTGCAATAGGTAATCAAAGTTAAGCAATGTCGAGCTTGTTTAGTACTTGGATGGGTGACGGTCCACCAGGGAAAGCTATGCTGCCCCAGTCTCTCCCCCCCTCCCGGGTATGTGAGGTCCGTCAGCCTACTGGAGGCAACTCACACCGACCGGGCATAGGACTGATGACCCTACCCCGTGTACTTAAATCGGAAATCGGGGGAACCCCGAATAATTAAATCGGGTACTTAAATGTGGTTTACCAGGATGTTAATAGCCCCCCTGAGGTTCGGTCCATGGACGGTCTGTTTCGGAGAAAGAAATATAGGTCATCGTTCGCCTGCTGACTCCAAGCAGCCATAATCCATGGATCTAGACCGATTTGTCTCACTGTCCTTGAACCCGAGAAAGTCGGTAGGAAGGACATTGCCAGATTGGCCCCAAAGAGATCGGATATAGAGCTATGGGTGGACTGCCGCTGCACCATGGAAACCATGGTTCGTAGCAACGTAAGGTTGGGTGACCCCCTCCAGGCTATCTGAGCTCCCACAAGTATCACACGTCTGTAAGGAGACCACATCTCGCGGCCATATACCTTCATGGTCTGTAGTGCCAACCGAAAAAAAAAGAAATATATATATAATATATGTTTTTATTCTTTTTTTTTTAGAATAGCCTTAAGTTTATAAATAAAGTTTGCAATTATATAATTTATATGTTTATATATATATATATAATTTATATATAATTTTCATCTTTCAAACTAAAGTTACTGCATCTTATATAATAGAGTCTAAAAATGTTAACTGTACGAAAAAATTTACAATATTTTTGGAAAACTTACATAAAACCAGTTTAAAAAATATTACAATAATTGGGGATTTTCCTGAACCATAGTGAATAAATATTTAACTTTTTATTTTTTCTTTTGCTACTACAATATATAGCATACCGCCTCTACCAATAAGTTATCTTTAAAATTTCTAATTGATTATTTTTCTTGGAACAGTTAGACCATCTTCATCTTTCTTATTTTATTATCACTGCACTAAAAGCCTCCTTCCATGGATATGTGAAGGTTTCAGAGAATGGATAGTTCAACTTAATGACAGGCTGAGAGGAAACATTTTCAGTGATAACTTAGGAGTTTGGTTTCCAAGTCCCCCACATCCCTAGACCAAGTGGGCCTGGTACTTTTTTCTTTTCTTTCCTACCCTGGCTTTTCAGAGCTTTCCTGGGCTAGGGGTGAGGATGGGGAATTAATGCTAGAGTTAAATCCTCACGTCTCCGGGACTCAAACTTGTAATCTTTAGGTTATCAGGTTGCCAGGCAACACGTGTATTGCAAACATGTGAGCCAACTCCACCATCATGCCTCTAAATGGACCTGGTACTATCCCAGGCCCCCTCCCACCTGATATATATTAATGCGTACATTATGAGTAAATATATCATGATAGTTAATACCTTAAATGATATGATATAGCTATCAATCATCTATATCTATTATAGTTATGCTTACTAAAAACACATTAATTACAACAAAATGGTAGAAATTAAATATTCAGAGTCACCATTAGATGAAATACACAGGTTTATCCACAAATATAAAAAAATTGTTTCTCAATACACTAAGATAACAATAAATTAAGCAATAACATGAAAATCTAGTTATTAGTAACAGCAGACACCTTATTGTATTGGCAACAAAAATATTTTATATTGTATAAAAGAGTTATGAAATCATTTACATGGTATAATAAAATGAAAACTGAAATACTACAAAAGTAAAGAAAAAATTATTATTTTTTTATATTAATACTAGTTAAAATTAACTACTGTTAAATAATCAAACTTTCTTATCCTAATTCAAAATCATTTTTAGCTTTTACAGGAAAAACTAAACTGTCTACAAAAGCATCATGCATTTAGGGCTAATGCTTAGAATAATATAAAACGAATATCATCATAACCAATTATTTTTATAAAAATATCATAAATAATTAATGTCAGTATTATTTACATTTCTAATTAATGAAGATACTTTTATTTTTTATCTATAAACTTCCAGAATAAAGCAACCACAAAATTATGAATGATATGTGGAACACAAAAATAACAAAATATCATGGCAACATAAAATTATAATAGCTCCATTTTAAAAATTTAAGCAATTTTATTCAAGTACTTTAAAATTCATTATTAAGCAAACAATTTTCAACATGCAGTCTCCGAAACAAGTTTTAAAAACAATTTGGGAAAAGAAAAGATAACTATAAATACAAAATGAATAACATACTAAAACACATATTAATCTTTAACAAAGCATATAAAAAAAAAAATATATATATATATATATATTAGAGAAAATAGATTTTTTTGGCTACCGAAATGCATCAATATATGAATACATTGTAAGTCTTCAAGTTGGATCAAGCGACATTCAGACAGAAATGAGAGAAGCAAATTAAACTATATCTTCATGCCAATGCAAATCAGGAAAAGAAGATGACCAAAAGACCAAGATAAACATGATCTCTCTTTCAACTTATATATATATATATATATATATATATATATATATATATATATATATAGAGAGAGAGAGAGAGAGAGAGAAGGAATACCATTCCATAAATAAGAAGGCTACTATATGGTTATGAGATTTGGTCTCTGATAAGTAACCAAATCAAAAATGTAAGATCAATATTTATTTAATTAACTAGCATGAGGAAATCCTGATCTTGCTCCATCAATCTCTGCACAACTGTTGGTCTTGAATCAGTCCTTGAGTAGTGAGCCCAAGACCTTTCATGGATTTTTATGCACTGGATTTATTATTTTTTTAATCGTAATTTCTAAAAACATAACTGCAGGTAACTTTGCATCAGAAATTGGGAATACTTTGTACCAGTAAAAATGAACTTACAAGTAGAGCTAATTGTTTCAATCTGTTTATGATCTGACTTTTTTTATAATCTCAACATCCTTGCAATATAATATAATAGTAACTTAATTAAATGTTTTGTTTGTGCCAGAATTTTTATTAGTGCCAACATTTCAACCCAAACATGTGGATCATCATCAGAGCGTGGTTCGATGACCCACATGTTCGGGTTGAAACATCGGCACTAATAAAAACCTGATAATGACTGCATCCTGAATATTTATCACTCATGATATGTAGAATAGTCGACTAACTTCCTTCAATAATGAATTATTATAATGAAAAATAAAACTTCTCTTTCTCCAAGAATATTTAAATTTTGTTTCTTTACACTTTGCAGCCATACACAATTATGTATTTAATATTTCTTCTTTTTAATGGAGACGGTTTTAATTAAATTGCACGAGTTTATGATTTTAAGGATTTTTAATGAGTTTTAGAAAGCAGTGGGAATTTTCCCAACAGATCCAAAAACTTTACTCCACTTTAAAAATAAAAAATCACTCAAATATAAAAACAGTAAATGAGGAACTTTATCTGTCATTTATATTCTTTGGAAACTGAGGTATAATTTCAAACTTTCCTAGAAACCAGGTGAAAACTGCAGATATTTCCAAAAATTGGAACTAAGTGACACACTTTGATGGGGGAAAAAAAAGATTGATTTCTGTCATAGGTACAGACAAAAAAGTCTGATTAATAAATCCATGATAATAGAATTGTTTTTCATCTCCACTTCCTCACGTTTTTGACTATACAGGGTTTTTTTCCGAGCCAGGGTAAAGAGTGGAGAATTATGCAGAGTTAAAATTCCCACAGCCACCAGAATTTGAACTAGTAATAAATCTTTGGTTTATTATCAGGTTGTCAAGGCAACAAGTGTTTTACACAATGCTTTAGCCCACTCAGAATATGTATTCAACACAAACAATCGGTGAAGCTATGTCAATGTTGAAGTAACAGTTTATTTAATAAGTAATAAGCTGCCTAAAATGGAAAAAAACTTTTTTTTAATAGTTAAGCAATAAGAATCAGATATCCTAGTTAACTTATACTGACCTAGGTAGGTATACAATGCAATGAGACCTATTGTGAATACCTGTTAGTAAAAAAGCACAGGATCTGTCTTATGTTATTTTCTCCACTTAGAGTTCATATTTAAGTGTTTTAGTGATAGACATTGGAATGAATTTATAAACTCTTTTCCTATTTCCCTACATAGAAACTTAAGAATCTTAACAACGAATAGTGATAAGCATTCAATAACAACATTGGCACAAAGGAGGCTACTGCAGCACATAATATGTTATCTAGGAATCGGCTCTTCAAGTCCAAATTGAAATCTTTAAAACCTGACTTGTACTAACTCGATCTACTATTCTAAATTTTTCAAGCACTTTAATTAAAATTACAGTAAGAATTGAAATTGGGAATTTTTCATGAAATTCCCTATAATAGGCGATAAATAGTCAGGTTGTAGTCATTTTAATTGTTATTGCCAACATTTAAGCCCAAGTATGTGGGTCATCACCAGGGCATGTTTCCAGTACTGAAGGTGTTTAAGAACTGGAATGCCTTAGACATTGGATTACTGGAGTACTTGAACACCTTCAGTAATGGAAATATGACCTGATGATGACCCACATGATTGGGTTGAAATATTGGCAACAACAATAAAAATCTTAAAATGACTACAACCTGGCTATTTATCACCTATGATATGTAGAAAAGCCTACTAACTTCCTTCAAGAAATTCCCTATATTTTGACGACAATTTTTCAAAATCTTTGCTTCTAAGAGCCAGAAAGGTATCTATATTACAGAATTAATATTTAGTGATATAAGAAATAAAAGAAT